GCATGAGAGAGGCGGGGGTGGGACCTTCATAATTCTCACAGCAGTCAATATTCACCCTACCCTGCTGGGGGCAATACCAGCATGCTTCATCTATGCATCGACTGGAAGGCTCCATGGCAACTCCCGGGGTCAGGGGTCACGCAGAAAGGTTGCTTTTATCTGCTAATGAGGTCGGTACCTGGGGCTCCACGTCTCCCCGCTTCTGTCTCTCTGCCTCTCCTCTGTGTCGTGAAAGGCGGGGGGTTCGGCAGTTATGAATGCCTACCAAGTGACACCAATGCCATCTTCACTCGTCTTCGCCCTGGCCTCTGAGGCGTGCACTTTGAGCCTGGTATGGGGCGGGAGGGGCTACTTGTATTAGGTACTGCCCCATAGGGAAGATAACAAACGGCTCCAAAAGTGCTGTCCCCCAGTCTGGCTCCTCATTGTGAAATAAGTGTTCACATGCAAATTGACAATCGCCCCACAAGCCCTGTGGACGGTCCTGCCCCGTACCTTCACTTTAGTTTGATTGATTGCCTTTACACCAACATGGTTTGTGTAGGTAGGTGCTTAGTGTTAAAGTGCCCCGTGATTGATGTTATGTTGTTTTGTGTCTTACACACTAATCGGCTGTGGCGAAAGAGTAGTACCGAAAAGTCAAACAAACCATATGATTAACATTTGTCTTTTTAATGATTTACTGAAAGCACCGAGTCGACATGTTGTCTGACTTATAGACTGCTTAAAACAAAGAAGTGTTGACTGAGAGACGAAGCTTCCTATTGGACAAGCTGCTAATGCCCCAGGAAAACACACTTCCACTACCTTCACTATATCACACAAGGCTCATTGGCCCATGTGCCCCTTCAATGGGGCAAACAGGCACCCTCACAGCCTCTGTCCCTCTTCCACACCCCCTTACTCTCACACACACGCCCCCTGTCATGTTCACAGGACTGAGAAAGGAGTCCATTAACTCTGATTTAGTGGCAGTGTCATGCGGTCCCCTTTGTAAGGTGGTGACATTCGGTGAATAGGAATCAGAATTCACCACCACCACCACCCCTCCTCCCTTCCTCCAACTTTTCTCCTCCTGGCTCCATGCGCAGGGTATGCGGAGGAGTTTGTGTGACTCTGGTGGGAGTGTGAGGGGTTCAGCGTTGCAACGTTCTGGGGGTGGGGACATGGATTGAGAGGGTTTTGCTGCCACATGTCTCTGAGTGGCGGCCTCTTTGTGCCTGGGCCAGCCTGTTTGTTTAGCCTTTCCTCGGAGAGCTGCCTCACACATTGGTGCCTCGTACGGATGAAAAAAGAGACAGGTTCAAACTTTGAGAGGAAAGGAGTTGTTGTGTTGCGTTTGTGTTAAATAAACCCAGCTTCTAATATTCCTGTCAGTTATGGCACACCATGGACGTCTTTTAGCTGTACCACCTAAAAGACGTCCATCAAATAAGACACAGAGAAAGGAAGTCTTATTTAAAAAAAATCCAGAAAATAGGATAACTTATCTTGTAAAAATCAAAGTTAAAGAACAAAATACTGTCTACATTATAATATAGAGTTATTCGTTAAACATAGGAGCTTGTGATAACTGACAAAAAAGTAAAAGAAAAGAAAATCTGGACATCAGAACTGCATCATCTGGCCTCGTAACCTTTCCAAAGAAATGTTATTTCTTGGGGAGGATTGTTGAGAAATCAAACCATCAGTTTCTTTGGCAACAGAGATAAAACAAAATGATTAAAGACAGGTGATGTAGTGCATACTGGAAGTTTTTTCAGTGTCATTAAAAAAACTAAAAAAGATTTATTATGTAATATTTAATGCTGCAGACAGCAACATCTGGAATAATCCTATAACTTTGTGAGATTTTTACCTCACAAATAACCCCCTGGTCAGATCTTTTCTTTCAAATGCAGAAAACCTTTTTTGTTTTAAATTTATTACGCAACTAAAACCTTACAGTCATACTTACTCAGATGATGCTCAAGTGGTATAAGTACATGCAATTTAATGGGAAATAATGAAAACGGTATTGAAAGGCCTCACATCTGTTACTAACTGGTATCAAAAGCTGGTGGCGTGCACTGCCCCCGTAAAGTCCCTTCCCTTTCTGACTCCCCGCTCCCTGCAGCCAGTGGTGTCATCCGTGTCAGCACTGCAGGTGAGCTACATTTAAAAAAAACAAGAGGCCAGAGAGGTCAGCCTTCATTATTCTACCCTGCTCGCTTGGAAAAACAAAATAAGAAAATATTTACACAAACAGGAAGCTGTGCATTTCCTAATGATTGGAAACATGTTGAGCGTGACGTTTGTTCCCTCCCTCCCGGCTATTGGTGCCGCCCTCTCACTCAGCACGCACATATACACTCCTTCATGCACATATATAGGCTACAAGTGCACTGAACTGGATGGTATGTGGTATGAGAACAGGCTGGCATTATACTGGCACGAAAGATTTGAGAACGATTTTAGGAGTTAAGCTTTCTTTGACATTAAACTCCGGATGGTGGAATGTTTCAACCCAAACTAAGAGCCCATTAATGCTGTTGAGTTTAGGCTTCCCTCCAGCCATGTTAGATCAGCCATAATAAGTTGTGAGTTTATGGACCTTTGCTCCCCAAATGTCTACCATGTTGCTAATTGCGTACATCTGTGCCTCTCGTTTTGATGTTTTGTCACAATGTGCAGCTGTCCATTCTAT